CCCCTCTTTTATTTTTCTGTTGAGATATTTTTAAGGTTTTATAATGTTAAAACATTTATTCATTTATTATGTATTTGGTACAGGGCCTTAATACGCGGCTTGGACTCGTAGTGATCCTCCTGTTTTCAGCCTCCCTGATGCTGGGATTATAGGCGCATGTGCACCACCACACCCAGACTTGGTGGCTGGCTCAGCGTGCCTGGGGTGGGGGCCGGCGCAGCATGTGTTGCTGGGAATCAAACACCAGATCCTGTGCTTGCCTAAGTGGGTGCTTACTCCACTGAGCTATCTTGCCAGCTGTATAATTTCTAATTGCATTTTTTGATTCTGATTTATTTTGGGGGGATACTGGGTATTGAAGCAAGGGCCTTTGCACCGAGCTACATCCCTAATCCTTTAAAAATATTTTAAAATTTTGAAACAGGGTACATCTAAGTGACTATGTTGCCCAGGAAGCTGGGTTTGAACTTGCCATCTTCCCACCTGAGCTTTCCATAGTTCTGGGGTTCAGCTGTGTGCTACCATACCCAGCTGAGGAATTTTTCATTATTTTCCATTATATAATCACATATTTTGCATTTATCTTAATTAGGTTTGCTTAATGCTTACACATTAATTTTTTTTTTTAATTGTGTTTATCTGATGCAGGGTGTCACTATGCAGCTTGGACTCATAGTGATCCTCCTGTGTTGGCCTCCTCAGTGTTGGGATGATAAGCGTGTGCCATCACACCTGGTTTCTGTGGCCAGAACAGAAACCAGTGCCTGGGGCTGTGGGGCCCACGTGGCATGCGATACCGGGGATTGAACCTGCATCCTTGCGCTTGCCAAGCAGGTGCTTAGACCCCCAAGCCATCTTCCCCAGCCCCTATCCCCAAAGAGATAAATTTCAGTGGTTCATAAGATCCTACTCGCGGGCAAGTTTAGACCAAATTACATTTTTCGAATTTGCCTATGCTTTTAAAATTTGTTGTGCTCATTCCTTTGGAGAGGAACTTGCCTATGCCTATACATTTTTCATGTTTTTATAAACGCACCTTAATGGATTTCCCCTTAAAAATGTTTATTTATTTTAGTTGTCTCTTTTGGATGTCCCCAGATAACACTAAGCATCACTTGCAGGTAATAATGTTGCCTTCTCATTCCTGGAATTCAGACCTGTTTCTTTCATCTGGTTATAGTGGTTAAAATTGCCAGGCAGTTATGAAGATGCCGGGTCGCTTTGGAACCCGTTCTCAATACACATTTGTTTTCAGATTCAGATATGGGCCGGCCATCCCAGTTCATGTAAAGATCTGCAAAATCAATCAGTGTAACCTTGTCCTGTTTCAGTTGCAGGTTTGGACAGAAGGGCCATGTGCCTCCAAGGTCATATGAAAGACAGTGTCAGGGTTGCGTGGGCCTCGATCTCTGACCCCTGACCTGTTCTCACTGTGGGGCAGAGTAAGCCGTTCGCCTCTGACCTCTGGTGGGATACTGCCCTGCAGAAACAGCCAGACTGGCTTTAGTGCCTGTGTTTTCTTTATTTCAAGCAATGTCTGTTGTATTAAAGTAACATGACCCAGACTGTTGACAGTCGTATGTAGTACATGACCTAGATAATTTCAATGCGAGAGATAAATTTCAGTGGTTCATAAGATCCTACTCACGGGCAAGTTTAGACCAAATTACATTTTTCGAATTTGCCTATGCTTTTAAAATTTGTTGTGCTCATTCCTTTGGAGAGGAACTTGCCTCAACTGGTAGGAACAATTTGGGATTCAGTGCTGTTTACATACCTCCTGTGGGCCAGGTCCTGTGTGGGGATGGTCCCTGCCCTTGATAGGCTCGTGGCCAGCTAGTTGACTGCCTTTCCTAAAATACTGTTTTCCCTCAGATTCTAATTCCTCTAATAAAAATATATTTTAAAAATAAATTTTGGTTTGGGCTGCCTTCTGAAATTGTAGAAAGCCTCACTGACCTGCTGCATGTTTTCTGTTGTTTCATATGCAGTATCAGATGTAAACAAAGGACACAACAAGACCAGTTAGAAAGGATGTCCACATCATGTGTGCAGTGCCCCTCTCAGGACACGGTCTTCTGCTCGCCACCCCCTGGGCCCAGCCAGAGTGCCAGGCCCCACCTCATCTGGATCCTGCTGAAGTTCCCCAGCTCAGGTGCCACCCTCTTTACTTTGCACCTCAAGTGGGAGCTGTTGCCCTACTTCAGCCTCTCTGTGAGCTATATGTGCCCCAGTAACATGTTGTGGGTCTTTTTGTGGGTGGCTAGGCTTGTCTGCCCTTGGAGAAGAGGCTGGTGGATGTTTGTACTAAGGGAAAGCTGACTGGGGGATTGCTTTTAATCACATGCAATCAGAAGGAAGCTGAAGGAGAGCTTGCAGCCCTTGTGCTGGGTGGAAACACCCTCCTACTGCTGACTGCGTTCAGGCATGGAGGGACATCCGAGGAGTGAGGAGACCCAACTGCTTCCCGTGGTGGGCCGTCGGCGCTTGTGCCAGGACAGGAGCTTGGGAAGCCAGCTTCTCCTCCTGCAGCCTGCCTGGCATCCTGGGGCCTCAGGCCGGGGAAGACTCAAAGGGCAGTGTCAGACTGGGAGGATGGGGGTGCACAGCTCTTGCCTGCTGAAGGCGGCGCATGCTCCAGGAAGCCCGCCAGCGCTGTCTCCCCACAGTCCACTCTTCCTTCTACGTGGGTACCAGGCTTGTTAAGCACCACTTTCCTTGGAAAACGAAAGCTGGCTGACTCCACTGTCTGCCCTGGAAGGGAGCAGCGTGGGCACTTCTGCTGGGTGTGTGCGACATGACTGAAGACAGAGTACTGGAACACTACGGCTTGGGCCTTCTTACAAGCCTGTGGTTCCACTTGAGGTGGTACTGGCAGAGCACAGCTCTGGATCACCACCTCTGAGGCATAGATGCCTGGATTCTGGGCGCCCACGTCGCCTAAGGCCACAAAGAAGGAACTTCGCAGGATCTGTCCTTTGCAGCTCCCAGCTGGCCTGAACTGGGGGACACCCACCTAGCCCTGCTTCCTGTGTGGCACTGCACCCCGATGCCCTGGAATCTTGTGTCTTCTCCATGGACTGCAGCCGTCTACAGAAGTCCCCTCCTGGACTCCCAGAGGTGGCCTCCAAACTACCCTGGACGTCTTGCCCGTCTCCTTCCACAACTCCTGCTTGGATGCCTGTCTCCTCTACTACACAGTGAGCCCAGGACTTAGAAACCCTGAGAGTGGCAGACCAGAATCTAATCCACCCTGTGGGTAATTGGTTTACAAGTCAGCCTTCCTTGGGGTGTGTGGTCTGTTACGTACCTCACTTTGCTGAGGTTAACCTGTCCTGTGGCCAGAGGAACTAGAGCGGCTCGTGCAGAGTGGTGTCCTAAGGCTGAGCACTTAAAAGTTGGTTGTGTTTCCTGTTAGCATAGGGAGCCCTTAGCTCTGTCTAAATAATTACTAACTAGCAGATGTGCATACTTGCTAACATCTGTGAGTTGAAATACGGATTTTGATGTTGATTCAAGGTTGAACTTCGGGCTGCTTGCCTTGAAATGACAAAACTGTCTTCCAAGGCTGCTGTTTCTCTCCTCTCCCATCCACAGTGAGTGGCGCCCGACTCGCCAGCTCTCAGGACCCTGGGAAACAGTGCAGTCTGCAGCACCCCTGCCTCCCTTTCTGGAGCTCTGCTGTCATGAGGGGCTTCAGACTAGCTGAGAGCGGGACTGACCCCAGGGGACAGCAGTGGCAGTCTCGTCGCAGAGTCCTTGGCACGCTGATCTCAGCCCTTGTTTTCTGTTCACCTGCTGTTGAGTTCACCTCTCTTCATAAGTTACTTGGGGAAGTCTGAAGTAAATGAAGGTGAAGCCCTGACCCCTCTCCCAACTAGTCCAGCCCGAGCCCTAGGCAGGGACCCTTATGAAGCTGATACCCAGCCAGGCTGGTGAAAGAGCACTGTGCCTCTCCTGGATGCCGCTTCTGTGTGTGCCCTGCCAGGCTCTGAGGCCAGTCCTGAACACTTCCAGCTCAGAGTAAAAGGGAGAGACATAAGACAAGGGCCAAAGACTTGGAAGGCACAGGCTTCCCAACCCCCTGCACCGCTGACCATTCCCTTGGTCTAGGGGTCAGCCTGGGGAGGGTGTGGAGGCACGAGGCTGGCTGGCTGCCCTCCCGCAACCAGAGCCCCCAGGTGTCACTGTGGCTGGTGGGTAGGCTCTGTTCAGCCTACTTTGGTCACAGGACAGTTTTTTAAATGTGAATGCCAGCTACTGCTTATATGGTGTTCTGTGAGGGTGTTCTCTGAAGTCTGCAGGGGTAGGAACGAAAGTGCCGCAAAGTCAGATGACACTCAGAGCCAGGGGACCCTATTCTTAGGTGATGACTGATACTGAATATGATTCTACTTTTCTTTAGGATTCTAAGGTTTTGACCTAATGGGGTTTGATAGTCATGTTTCAGTCCCCATTTTCAGAGTTTGCCCATTGGGCATTGGGCTAGAGGGACAGTGCAGCTGAGGAGATCATGCCCTGGGGCTGTTCTGATTTTGCTGTGGACCCAACACAGGGCCATCTCTCCACTTCTTTGCCGCTGAGTGTCCCCAGCTCAGGGGAAATGAGATCGAATTCTAAGGTTCTGTGGGCTGAGGCCCAAGAGGGGAATGGCAGGGTAAGCTTGTGGGGACGGCAAGGGTAGGCTCTGCCTGTGTGTAAAGCAGGAATTTGTGTAACACCGAAAGGAAGGAGCCCTCCTTCCCAGCTCCCTCACCTTCTGACATGTGGCAGTGCCTTGGTGGTTTGTAAACACGTTTTTTTTTTTTAATTTTATTTATGTGTGTGTGTGTGTGTGTGTGTGTGTGTGTGTGTGTGTGTGGCCAGCTCAGCCCACCAGGGGGCAGGGCTGGCTGGCATGTGGTGCTGGGGGATTGAACCGAGGTCCCTGTGCTCTGCTAAGCTTGTTCTATGTAGGTGCTTTAGACCACTGAGCCATCTCACCAGCCCCATGTAAACACTTTTAATTTCTTAGAAATATTTACGACGGTAAAGGTCGTATGCACAGGGGGACAGATGCCTTTGCTGAGTCCCACTTTCACTTCTACCTCAAAGAAAGGTTAAGGCATAAGTTACTCCACTGGGCACCTGTATACCCCTTGTCCTCAGGGTGCCTTTGTGGCCTGGATCCCGTGACCTGCAGGCAGGTGGGCGAGATGGTCACTTCCCAGGCTGCACAGGCACAGGGTCCTTGAGCAGGCAGGCTGTATTCAGTGCATTCCAGAGAGGACCCCTCCACAGCAGCGCTGAGCTGTTCCTGCCCCGGTGGGGAGGCGTGTGTGTGTGTGTGTGTGTGTGTGTGTGTGTGTGTGTGTACAGAGCATGATGCTGGGAGCACTCCCAGCTCTCACCTCTGCTGGGCTGCAGCCAGCCCAGCAAGTCTGTGCTGGCAGGGTGGGGCAGGCTGCAGGAGACAGGTGGGGCTGCAGTGGGGCTCAGGAGTATCCTGTTGCCCACAGTGAGGTACCTAGGAACAGAAGCAACTGGGAGGTATGGCCAGCAGCGAGGGCAGTGACCAGTCTCGCCTTCCCGTGTGACATCACTTTCTAGCGCTGCTCTCTGCCCTGGCCTGCAGCTGGGACAACCAGCCTCTGGCAGGGAGCAACTAGAGGGAAAGGGTGGGTGTGAGCCGGGCCAGAGCGGGTCACAGATGGAGGTGCTGGGCGGTTGGTTTGTATTTACAGTCTTGCTCCTGGCTCCTCCAGAGACGGGCTGACTGCAGACTTTTGTGCCGCTGTGTCCCTTTGTGCCGCTGTGTCCCGGTGTGCAGCGCTCCCCTGTGAGCCTCCCGCAGGCGGCTCCTCGACCCCTGCATAAGTTCCAACCCAGAGGGAGCAGGCGCCGAGCTCGGGGTCGAGGTCAAGTGCAAAGCCAGCAGTGTCCTTTCTGCTCCAGCTTAGTGGGGCCGTGGGCCTGGCCTACACCCCGCCTGGGCCGTGGTTGACCGTCAACTCCGAGCCTCCTCCAGAGCCTCACTCTAGCACTTTGGGGCTGGGGTCTGCGCCAGGCTCCCTCTTGCGCTTGGCACTTTTAAAGAAGCCCAGCTGTGGGAAGCAAAGAGGGGGGGCTCAGGGGTGTGTGGATGGGCAGGCCTTCTCCAGGCCTTCCTTGGGTGACCCTGAGCACCCCGTGACTCCATTGCACCTTGCAGGAGAACAGAGACCAGGGGCAGAGATGGGGACCTTTGGGGGGCCCACTGCCTGACCTTGTTGGCTTTGGGGAGAGACAGGAATGGAAGGAGAGGTAGGAGAAGGTAAGTGAAGGATGGGGGCTAGGGAAGGGCATGGAGGGCAGGAGGTACAGGTCCTACTTTCCTCCAGTTCTCGTGGGGCTGGGTCTCAGCCGGGGGCCTTCCCTCTGTGCCTCTTGGGCAAGGGCCTCACCTTCCACAGCGCCAGCACCAGCAGGGCGAGCAGCAGGAGACCCCCCAGCGTGCTGCCCAGGATGATCCAGATGGGGACCTCTGAGTCCTCCTGCTTGGAGATGTCGAAGGTGACCTATGGGGAGTGGCCGGGTCAGTGGTGTGCTCTCCTGGCTGCGTGACCTGGGGCTGAGGCTTAGGCTTCTGCGTGGCTACCGCCTGCCCTGCCACCACTGCACGTGCCCTTGCTTTCTGCCTTCCTTGTTCTTCCCAGGCTTCCAAACGTCCCAGTGGTGGTTTTTCACTTGCTGTCCCCCGGCCACTTCCTCCTCTGTCCTCACACATGGGGAGATGGGGTCCCAAAGACACAAGTGACTGGGGCCACTGCTCCTCACAGCCAGCGCTCTCCTGAATCCCGGCAGGCTGGGACCTTGCTGTGCCTGCCCTGCCGTCCTCACATCAAGCCCAGTGCCACAGGGCTTCCTCTGGGGTTGTTCTTACAAGAGAAGTGAGTTGCCCAGAGAGCACGAGAATGGGGGCAGGGTGGAAGGTGCGGTCTCCCGACAGACGCTCTGCTGTGAAGGGAAGGGTCTTTTGGGGGAAGAGAGTGCCCCGACGTACTCCACTAGCTTCCTGTTTCTGCGATGCGACCACGCGGGGGCAGCAGAGTCTCACATCTGCCCTCCGGGCCACATCCAGACCGCAGCCAGGGCTGCGTGGCCATCTGCGCAGGGGCGCCGTTTGGGGAGGCTGGGGCCACCCTCACCTAGCTCCCTTTGACCTGGGCGGGGGTTGTTGAGGTTGGACAGTGAGAGGCCACGGTGGTGGGACAGAAAGCAGGGCCTGCCCCTACCTGCCCCTCCATCCCATAGGAGCTCCAGGGTAGTGGTCTCACCTGGCGGCTGGGGTCGTCCTCGCGGAAGATGAAGGGACTGTGGAACTGCCGCTGCAGTGCCGCGTTCACTGTGAGCTTCAGGGACCTGAACTTGAGCTGCAGGAGCAGGGCTTGGTGGGAAGCTGGCTCTGGGGGCAGCCCACAGCACCTGCCTGCCCACCCCCGTCCCGGCCCGCCCGCCTGCCTTGCCCCACTTACTGCTTTCAGGGACCTCAGCCACAGGTTCCCCTGCAAGTGGAGGCTGAGCTCCTGGCTGGGCGCCAGCTGCACGCTGCAGTGGATGGAGACCACGTCCGAGTTGCTGTGGTTCTGAGGGGGAGGGCACACGGCAGGGGCTCAGGACGCTGCCTGGGCCACCCGGGCTCCTGGCAGGGCGTGGGCAGGGCCAGGGGAGAAGGGGTGGCCGGGAGCCTGACTTCGTGCCAATGACCAGTGGGGGAGCTCCAGGGACAGAAGTTTGGCTTCTATAATCTGTCAGTGTCACTACCATGCCCATAAATCAAAAGAGAAAGTGAGCTGGTATGATGGGCATGTCCGTACGCCCAACACACAGGCTGAGGCAGGAGGATGGCCGCAAGCTCTCCACCTGAGCTACATGGTGAATTCAGGACCAGCCTGAATTGCGTGACAAGACTGTCTCAAAAAAATTAAAAATTAAAAAAATATATCACTGCAACAGATGTAGAAAAAGTATTTTCGGAAATCCAGCTTCTGTTCCTGACGGTCAGCTGGGAAGCTTGCTGCACAGGATTAAAGGATGCGTGACTGTATCTGACAGCAAATGTCACGTTCCCTTAAAACTGGCACCAAGGCGATTCTATTTCTGTGGCCTGGGAGGTCCTGGCCAGAGTAATATGGCAAGGGAAGCAATTTATAAGGACTGAATGGAAAATAGAAAACCCAAACAAATCATCCAGCTGTCGGCCTTTCCTAAGGGGAAGCTGTCCATCAGTGCAGCTGGCTTGCTGTCCCGCCCGGAAGTGCAGGGCTTGGTCTGGGTAGACAAAATCACAGATCACAGCTGCTAAGAGCTTTGTGGGGACGGGATTGTGCGGGCCCAGACACGGGCCCATTGGAGGTGGGGTGCTGGCTCCAATTCATCCCTGTGCTTTCAGCCTCTGTCTCTTCTCTCTGCTTTCTGGTCCTGCCGACCCCCTTGGTCTGGTTCAAGGCTTTGCTGTGTCCGTCTCCCCTCTTGTTTCCTCTGCTTCCATCCAGGGCTGCACACACGGAGGTGTGGGGAAGTGCTCTTGCTCTCTCACACTTTCTCTAAGTTAGGGGCTCCCTCTGTTGCCCAGGCTGCCTGAAAATCAGTGACCCGCAGCAACCCTCCTGTCTCAGCCTCCTGAGTAGCTGGGCCTTGGTGTATATGCCACTGCACCCAGTTCAACAAACTCCTGGCTGGGAGACACATGGCCCCTGGAGCAGGCAGTGCCCCTCTAACCCAGCCCTTTGGCTCATGGTTGGGGACACTTACCAGCTGCAGGGCCTGACTCAAGTCTTCATCCGTTGGGGTGAGTCGGTACTCCGTGGTGTTCCCCCAGATGTTACAGGATGTGTTTACCTGCATGGGACAGTGCTGGTGAGACCTGGCCCCCAGGATGTCCCTTCCACCTCTGTCTTGGGCCTGGAGGCGCAAGCTGGGACCTAGGGACCAGGGGCCATGACTGTGTCCACCGAGCCCTCCCATTGACGCCTTCTGGGGTCTGGTACCTGGTTGGTGAGGAAGTCCCTCAGCACCAGCAGGCGGTTGCCACCCCTGGTGGCCACAGGAACGGTGATCTTCATCATCAGCCCATGGATGGGGAAAAAGCCCAGATTCTGGACCTGCAGCCAGAGCAGGGATGGGGGCCCTCAGCACCACCCCGGGCAAGAATGGGCCCCTGGGCCACGCAGAGCCATCCTGGGGGCGGGGACTGCTGTCACTCAGGAGCTGCTAACGCTGACCAGTGGCACTGTACGGTGGCCTAGTCACCTGCCTACGCAAACCCATCCCTGCTCTCCTGGTCACTATGTGTGGTCGCTAGTGGCACGCTGTGTGCCATCTGCAGGGATCTTTCAGAGGATGTTTGCATCTGTAGACATGAAAGAGGTTGGCCTGCGGCTCTGTCTGTTGGGTCCGAATCCATCAGAAGAAAAGCATCCTTTAGAGCAATGCCTGGCCGGTGGGGCTGAGACTTTAGCCCAGCCAGAAGGCCTGCTGCTCTTTCCCTCCATGGACGACTGCCACTTCCCTTCCTCCCGCCAAGCCCTGCTCGGCCAGTGCCTCGCTTGCCCCTTCCCTGCCCCCACCCATCTTGCTGTGTGGGAGCCTGTGCTTCTGCAGTATGCAGCCCCTTCTGGTTTCTGCCACCCCCAGGTCAGAAGAGCCCATTGCTTGGTACCTAGGCCAGGCGTGGAGACCTGCTGGCTATGAAGGGCATGAGAAAGTCACCCGTTGAGGAAGGGTGCAGCCAGCCAGTGTGGACAGCTCCTGTTCCTGCAGGGACACGTTTGCTGGCAGAGTGGCTGTTTGCTGGCAAAGCAGGGCTTTGGATAGGACTCTGGCTGCAGCCGTCCTGGTGAGCTGGGTAGCCTCAGGTAGGTTACTAAACCTCTGTGACAGGGCACTCAGGGTTCAGGTGTCTGCAGCCCCATCTCCACTCAGCCCTGGGATGGTAAATGCAGGCCAGGCTGAGGGCTGCAGCAGAGACTGCTAAATTGATCGCCAATTTTATTTTCCTTTCTGCCTGAGGGATAAAACCAGGACAGACAGATCCTACCCATTTCTGGGCCCCCTTACAGGGAAAACACTGGACAATGCAAGGTAACTGGAAGTATTCAGGGTTGCCAGAGGAGTTTCTTAGTAGGGGAATGCTGCTGCCTGGAATCAGAATGTGATGGGTGATACCGCAGCTGTCTTGGACTGTGAGGTGGATTTGGACTGTGAGACTGAGGACAGTGGAAGAAAGACTCCCCCCGAAACAGCTTTTCAAAACTGCCAACTCTGGACTTCTCTTATGGGTAAGTGGAAAGGCTAGTGTGTTTACATCATTTTTTTCTTACTAAAAAATTTTTAGGCAGGCAGTCCTGTTCTTCTCTGATGTCCCCCAAAACATTAGTAGTTTTTGATTATTAAGAACCAGAGAGGGGCTGGTGAGATGGCTCAGTGGTCGAAAGCACCTACTTAAAACAAGTTTAGCAGAGCACAGGGACCTCGGTTCAATCCCCCAGCACCACATGCCAGCCAGCCCCGCCCCCTGGTGGGCTGAGCTGGCCACACACACACACACACACACACACACACAAATAAATAAATAAAAAAATTTAAGAACCAGAGAGGAGGGAATTCATCAGGAGCCCCCTGAGCGTGTGGCTAGGTGGGGCCCTACCCCACCCCTGGGGCTGAGTCCTGAGTGCTCCTCTGCCCTACCCTGAAGACGCAGCTGAAGGGGGGCCCGATGGTGTGTCTCTCCAGGGAGCTGTTGGCCTTGACCTCGTAGTGGCTCAGGCTGCTGCTCCTGTGGACAGGGAGGATGGCAGGGTGAGCAGGGCACTGTCGGAGGGTGGAAGAGGGGAGTAGGGCTTGGGGAGGGGGCGAGGGATCTGTCACCCCCAGACAAGGGCCAGGGTTGCCGTGCCCAAGGGTGGTGCCGGCGGACTGTAAAGTTGGCAAGGAGGATGTGGCCATCGGCTCTCTGTCTGCCCTGTAGGGTGACGAGTCACAGAGCTGGTACCAGCCTCTTGATGGTCTCCTCTAGGCTCTGGGTGGCCTGTGTCCTGGGCAGCCCCATGGGTGAGCAGCTTGAAGGTGGGGGCGAGGGATAGTGTTGCCAGCTTAGGGTGCTAGAACTGCTGGTGCAGAGTGACGACGTGGCACACAGACATTTAAAGCCCTCCCTCCCCCAGACCGCCGAGCAGGCCTTGAATTTGCAGTGATCCTCCTGCCTCAGCTCCTGAGTGCTGGGGTTACAGGTATGCTCCACCACTCCCAGTTTTTTTTGTTTTTTTTTTTCAGTACCAGGGATTTAACTCAGGATCTTACACTTGCCAGGCAAGCACTTATTCTACTTAGCTATCTCCCTGGCCCCTAGTTTGTAGTTCTTTTAAATTTTATTTTAAGATTCTCCACAATGCACCCTCTCACTGCCCATGCCGGGGTGGGATACCTCCGCTGCCCATGCCAGGAGCTTGGGCCTGGCACTCACCCCATGGTTAGGGGCTGCACTCTGACCCATCAGGGATGCACCACGTGGGGACCCAGCAAGGGACCTGCCAGACTCTCCTCCCTCCTCCCTCCCTCCCTGGTGCTGACCTGGTGAAGAGAACATCTGCCTCGTACTTGAGGTGGAAGCGAAGGAGGGCCGTGTTGTCCTCCTTGGTACTGTCCTGCTCGTCACTGTCACTGCGGGGACAGTCGGGTTAGGAGGGAGCTGCCCCCCACCCCCAAGCACAGGAGGGACCTGAGGCAGCTGGGGGCAGGGACAGGCTGGCTGTTCTAGGACATTGAGGATGCCGAGGGTCTATCAGGAGGACAAGGGCTGGTGACAGCCACCTGAGCAGGCAGGGCCCCTGGCCCCCTGCTGTGTCACAGGATGGAGGACATCCTCATTGCCACCCTGTCCTGGGGAGGGACAGCAGGGCGCACAGTCTGTCTCTGACTGGCCAGTGTGACTCCTGCTGCCCTACTCAGGGCACCTGGAGAGGTGGAGGTGACAGAGGGTGGTGAGGGGACCTCAGAGATGCCTGTAGGCATGTGGTCCTAGTCACCAGGCCTGCCCAGGGCAGGAGCTGCCAGATACAAAACACATGGCCTGTTTCTCCTGGACCCCACCAGGTCTCTGGGCTTTGGTGCGGTGACCCTGAGAGGTGTTTGGTGAGAAAGGGGGTCCCGAGACACACACACCTGTGTGACTGCTCTGGCCCACCTGAGCTTACAGACACTCCAGTCTGGACTGTGCAGGCGAGCGGGTGTGCACCTGCCACACCGAAATTTGGGGTCCCCGCCCCGTCACCTGGCTGTGTGTGTGGGGAGTGTGCACTTGGTTTGCCTGTAGTATTTATATCTCAGCCGAGGATTTTGGTCATCTATGAGGCTGCAGAGTAGATAGGACCCTGCGCCCACAGCGGGGATTGTGTAGAAGGAATCATGTTTGCTGCCACATGGGCAGAGGCGTGGTGTGGACATACAGCGGCCACCTCCAGGGTGCCCGGGGCCAGACAAACCCCTGGGGGTGGGAGGCCGACTCATAAGAATGGAAGTTCCCAGTGCAAGGTAGGGGTGGGTGAGGAGGGTAACTGATGCTCAGCTCCTGGCGGCGCCATTTATGTGCTGGGAGTCCTTGGGGAATCCGCTCACCCTCTCTGAGCCCTCCTTTTCTTACCTACCCCTGGGAGGGTGGTATGGGAACAGTTCTTGCTCTGATGATTTTGGTTTTCTGTTTCCTTTTTGCAAGAGGGTCTTATTATGCAGTCCAGGGTGGCTTTAAACTGATTCTAGCCCAGGCCAGCCTCAAACTCCTGAAAGTCCTCCTGCCTCAGCCTGCCAAGGCTAAGATGATAGGTGTGCACCACCAAGCCCAGCTCTGCTGCTCTTCAGAGCTTCTGGGAGGACGACTGGACACACACAGGGCCCCAGGCTGTGGGGCCCTGACTGCTCCCTGACTTGCTGATAGCTGAGGCAGGTGCACCACTCGTGCCGGCCTGGGCCCCCAGGCTGGGGCAGGGGACAGAGCTTGGTGGCAGGTGGGAGAGGCAGGGAGCTGGGGTGAGCCTACCTGCCAGAGCTGAGCTGGATCTCCAGCTGGTGCAGGAAGATGGACTTGCTGAACTCGAAGTCCAGCCGGAAAGCCACCTGCAGGAAGGGCAGAGGGCAGCGGGGGGCCCACTGTGTAGCCACCGTCTATCACCATCACCTGCTGCCACAGGGGTCCCTCCATATATATGTTTGGTTTGGTTTCTGAGACTGGGTCTTCAGGTTGGTCCTGCCTTCACAGCAATTCTCCCGCCTCAGCCTCCTGAGAGGCGGAATTACAGGTGTGCACCACGGCCAGCTCTGCTAGAAGGCAGCCAGCACTTCCAGTGAGTAGGGGGCGCGAATAGTGCAAGGGGAGGGGTCCATCACCACCCACCACAGGATGGGGGATGGATGGATGGAGGGAGGGGTTGGGGGAGGTGTAGAGCTGCGGACAGGACCCTGGGCCTCATCCCACAGCCCTAGGCCACATGCTGGCCTGGCTCTGGCCTCTTCCTTGGGCATCACAGGGGATCTTTGCCAGCCCTTCTGCTTCCCCTGGAGTCCAGAACTCATCTCCTGTGGTGTCTGGGGCATGGGGGCGCTGAGGACATCTTGTTGGACTTAGGTCCCCCGGAGGAGCCCTGAGGCCGCATACATCTCTCCCCTCCCCCAGCCCTGCAGCCCTGCACCCTGAGCTCCCCTCTGATTCCTGTCTGGGAGCAGCTCAGCCTCAGCCCTTCTGTGGCTGTGCAGGGCTGGTGACTAATACCCTTCCATCCAGAGACTTGGCTGATAAAGGGTGGGGGGACGGTGGGGCCTGCCTAGTGCCTGGGCCAGCAAGGGGAGCTCATTTCAGTGTCATTCCCTGGGCGTAAAGTCAGCCTAGGTGCAGATGCCCGGCTGAGTTCTCCCCACCTCATCTTCCCCTTCCCTGCTCCCTGTCCCCCTGTGCCCACCCCCCAGTCCCCATCAAACCTTGGCCTTGGCCCTGAAGAAGGGGTAGCTGATGTTGCAGACTTTCTTGTTCAGCCTCCGCTCCTCATTCACACACTCGATGCTGCTGTCTGAGTCGTCCTGGGGGAGGGGGGTGGGTGAGGACACCCTCAGTGCCACCTCAGGCCCGCCGACCCCAACCCCAAGGCTGCTGCTGTCCATGACAAGCCTGGTGCATACCCTTCTGAGGCCACAGAGTCCTCTGAGCTGATGCCAGGGTGGGTCACCCTGGACAGTGAGGGCAAGGAGAAGCAGGTGCCTGGTGCCAGCTCTGCCATTCCTATCCCCCCTTATGGGTGAGCTACTACAGCCGAGGGACAGCCTTCTCTCTGGCTGTGGGATGGCAGCATGGGTGGGGAGTTGGCCATGTCTGGACCCTGGGTGTGGAGGCCACTGCCCGGCCTGGTCTCCTGCCTGCCTGGCTCCATGCAGCTTCTGGTCGGGCTCGGGAGGGGTCTCCTGGCACTGTGACTCTCAGGTTATGGCCTGGAGTGACTTTGTACCTCAGAACAAGTGGCTGAGGGCTGACGCCCTGGCAGGGCAGTAGGCATTTCTGGGGCTCTGTGTCCCCTCCCTCCAGAGCAACCATGTCTCCAGGCCTAGGGGTTCCCACAGTTTCCACAAGGCAGGCCTTGGGGCTGAGGGTCCTGGGGCTGGTGTGGGCACCTTGGCCACAGGAATAGAGCACAAGGCTGCCCTACAGCACCCCTGGCTGAGGGGAGATGAGTACCCTGTGCACTGGCTGTTCCCGGGCCCTGGGACAGCATGGGGCTCTGTCACTGTTGGCTTCCGCTCAGCGACAGCAGCTTTGCATGGGGCACAGCCTGGCACCCCCCCTCACATGCATGGAGCTCATGTGCAGACTGTGTAGGCCTGTGGGTGGGACTTGTGTGTGTGCCTGTGGTCTGAGTGGGGCTCAGCCTTCTGGGTTCCCTGGCTGGACCCGGGCTCTGAGCACTCAGCGACCTCTCAGGCTACCCAGCCCGATCTCCCATCTGTGTGGGGACACAGTGCCGCCCTGCTCCCTCTCTTCTTCCTCAAACCCTAAGACCTGCTGTGCCCTAGGAGCAAGACTCCATCATCCCCTCCCCAGGTGACAACCAGGCTGAGCCAGGGACTTGCTGACCCCTGTGTGCCCCAGATCCTGTGGCCCCTGGGCAGGAGTGGCTGTGGGACCCGGCAGCAGCCACTGTCATCCTGGCTGGGTGGGGCGGGGGATAGGAGAGTGCTGTTGGCCACAGCCATAGCCAGGCTCTTTCTGGGGGCACTGAGAGCCCAGGTGAGACTTGGGGGCCAAGGGTGTGGTCTCAGGTGGGTGGCCCACCCTCCGCTCAGCTTCCCCTCTCGGCTTCTCCTGCCAGCATGGGGACTTGGGGAGGATGACTTGGGGCAGTGGTACAGGCAATGGTGGGGACAGTGGGCCTGATGCCATTCACTTCTTACACTCTGCTCTGCTTGCCACGGAGATGGGACAGAGACTGCCTGAGGGCCCGGGACTGGGTCCACTGAGCAAACAGGTCTGAGGGCACAGAGACTGCACAGGGAGGGGACACAGAGCCCCAGAAATGCCTACTGCCCTGCCAGAGACTTGGGGTTCCAGCAGGGCCACATTCACTGCACAGCATGCGAGGCCGTGACAGAGGGGACCAGTGGCCCTTTGGGCTTTGGGAAAGACGAGAGGTGATGTGGGACAGTACTGTCACCAAATGCAGCTCTGGGGTCAGCTGTGGGGCAGGAAGCACTTTCTAGATGTGTTTTCCTGTGTCAGTCACAGAGCTATTGCCAGGCCTCAGCTCCCCACTCTTAAAATGGAGGCCCCCACACCAAGTACCTCCTGCACCATTAGCACAGGGCCTGTTCATTTCAGGGATCCAGTACACGCAGCAGGAGCTGACCTGCTGGAGCGGAGGCCTGGGGTGGTGGGATGGCGGGCACCAGCCTTGGAGCAGGAGCTGTTGGGGTATGCAGATCAACGCTGGGACTGGTAGGAGGGGAGGGCAGATGGTGGGGGGGCCTCACCTTCTGGACCAGGCTGGCGAACTGCAGGTTGGGGGACTGAGAGATGTTGAGCACGGCGCTGTATGCGTTCTCACCCCTGTTCTCCAGTGTCGCCTCTACCGCCACCCGCCGTCGCGTGCTCTCTACGATGAAAACCGTGGTGTCAAAGGACAGCGTGTAGGCCGAGCAGTCCTGTGCGGGCTTCCTCAGCGCTCTCTGGCAGTACTCCCTGTGGGCGAGACCAGGAGCCTTCAGGTGGTGGACAGGAGGGAGCTGAGCCTTGGGCCAGGTGCCTGGCTGGCTCTGCCATGGGCACTGCCTCGGGAGAAGGGAGTGGGTGCCAGGCGCTCTGGATGCCAGGCCATGCACCCTGAAGGCCCTGGGCTCCCCGTCACAGAGCTCTGAGTCACTCCAGTGCTCCACTAACCATGTCTCCCTTTGGCCATGGCTGCTGGAAGCTCAGAACTGCAGGTATGGACTATCATTTTTTGTTTGTTTATAAGGTTTGGATGTGCTTTTTTTTGTTTTCTGACACAGGGTCTTGTTATGTGGTTGAAACAGTCCTGTACCAGCCTCCCAGGAGCTGGGGTTACAGGCGTGTGCTACCACCCCTGGCTCCTCAGTCTCTTTCTGTTGGGATTGGCAGGTTCAGATGTCCAGCTGGGCCCTGGGAGCTGCCTCCTGGGGGCTGGAGGGTGAGCGTTGGCCCACCCCACCTGTGCTGGGGCTCGGATTCCTTTTAGGAACATAGATGCAAGAGCTGGGGGCAGAATCAAGGTCATTTTAACATACCAGGGAGCCAGGGCCACCCAGGAGCTGCGGGCTGGGCCAGGCCAGAGCCTAGCTCCCTTTTAAGGTCTGATCCACACTGCTTGCTTATAAGATGTATGGGAACCACCCAGGCCCCAAGAGCCCTGAGTCGCCAGCAGGGAAGGGGACACTCACATGGCGGTGGGTAGGTCACCCCGGGCATCCAGCACCAGGTCAGGGACGCAGTGTTCGTCCTCATTACAGCCATTCCAGAAGGGCACCTGGGTCAGGGACAGCCAGTGAGGCTGGCAGGAGGGGACCTACAGCCACCAGCCCCTGCCCCTGCCCATGCTGACCGTCCTGCTGCCCCCAAAGACCATGCTGCCATCTCTCCTGTGTGTGCTAAACTCAGCTCCTTCCTGCCCTCCTGGGAGCACAAGATCCCTGCTCTGTCCACAGCACAGTTCTGTACTGACCACCTGCTGCACGGGGTGAGGTGTCTGGGAGTGGGACAGAGTGTGAGGAAGACATAGCTGCTGCCCTGCGTGCACGGGCAAGGCTGCCGTGCAAACAGACGTGTTGTGAGATGCGCAGAGAACAAAAAGCTGTAGAAGTAGGAGGAGTGGAAGAAGCGGCGAGGAGGGAGACCTGTGGGCCTGCAGGGGCCAGAGAAGCTCTGAGGAGGTGACGCGGGCTAGGTTCTGAAGGGAAAGCCAGGGGGTCAGGAGTGGGTGCTCCAGGAGGAAGGACAGGCCCCGAACTCAAGAGCTCAGCGGCGGGCTTCTGGAGGGTGAGGCCATCAGGGGCGCTCCACCCACATCGGTGGGTTAATCTAAATTCTCAGCTGGATGTGCTGGAGGTGGCCTTTGGGGATAGTCTAGAAGGGAGAACTCTTGTCCCCACTTCTCCCTTCTCTCTGCATCGTGGCTGCCACGCAGTGAGCAGCTGTCCTCCCCCAGGCCCTTCCCACCTGCTGTTCCATGCTGGAGCTGTCCAACCATGGACTGAACCCACAGGAACTATAAGCCCAATAAACCTCCCTTCCTCTAAATTGGGTGTTAGGAAAGTAGCTAAGGACCTTGGGATAGGAGGTGGAAAGGCGCTGGCACTCTGGGGCTGGGTCTTGGAGAGGAGGTTGGGTGGGGCGGGGGGCGTGCGCCAGGGGTGTGGGCTCTGCCCAGGCCATACCGAGACTCTGAGAGTTGTGGGCCAGCCCTCGTCGAGCACGGGACCGTACTCGGGATCCTCCAGGGAATACTCGACCGAGAAGGCTATCGGCTTCACGTAGTCAGCAGTGTCCTGGGACGAGGCAGTGGGGCAGGGGAGAGGGCCTCACTGTCAGTGTCAGGGCCACCACAGCAGAACTTGAGCGTCCTACACGGGGAGGGGGGACAGTGCCTAGGAGACAGCGGTCCCCAGCCCTGCAGGTGATGAAGCACGCATGTGCAAGCCTCTGGCTTCTACTTGGTAGGGAGCCAAGGTGCCAGCCACGTGGGGAGGATTGTGACACATGCCCCAGGCTGACACTAACGGGTGAGTGGATGGCTCTGGCCACCCCACTCTTCTGACCTATGATGACTGACCTGGGTCAGGGGGGACCCTTGACTGGTCCCTGCTTTGGTCTCTGATGCTGGAGCTGTGCTCTGAGAACCTGGTGACCCTCTTCCCCTTCTCCAGTACTACAGGTTGGACCTATTGCCTTTGCAATAAACTATACTCCCAGCCCCTTCAATTTCTTTTTTCTTTTGGGACAAATATTTTTTTTAGGGGGTGGGTGGGGTCTCACTAAATGGCTAAATTGCCCAGGCTGGGCATGAGTTTTCAATCCTCCTGTCTCAGCCTCCATAGGGCTGGGATTACAGGCATGTGGCACCATGCCCAGAGGATGCAAACTTCTCATCCTCTGCCACACACACAAAATGGGCACCAGGCCACCACCCTGCTCCTGATTTGAGGGATCTCTCTCTGCCAGGCTGGCTGCGCTATACCTCCTCCCAGCTCGTCCATGCCCTGGTGCCCCTTAACTGGTCCCCATGTTCAGCTGGGGCCTGCAGCCCTCTCTTCTCAGCCATGGCCAGCTAGAGGCCCAGCCCATCTCCCTGCTGGGTGGGACTCAGCCCCTGCTAGGGATCCCATAGGTGTCTGTGAGGAGCAGGTAGGGTGGACATGAGACTGGAAGTGCTGCCCTCTGGCTGTCCCAGGTTCCCTGCCGGCTGGCTGGAGCTGCACCCACTGGGCTCCCTTCCACAGCAGGTACAGGGCTGCACCCACTGGGGACAGCTGGCTCACCAGGACATGGAAGCTGATCCGCTGGCAGTGCTCCTGGTCCGTGGAGAGCAGTGCGGCCCTGTTGGTAAAGGCATCACTCCCTTCATCCAGGTGTGCCCGTGGCATATAGCGCCTCTCGTCCATGGTGGCATTGTACCTGATGCCTGTGGAAGGGGAGGAAGAGAGGGAGGGTCAGGGCTGCCAGCCTTCCCTGTGTCCCTCCAGGACCTGCTGCTCTTCAATGGCAGCCTCTGGAGGTCCACCTTCTCTAGGAAGTGCCTGGGGAGGGTGGGGAACAGCTGTGTCCCTTCACTAGGGAGGTCCAGGAGGACATCTTCCAGGCAGGAAGCCAGGCACTGATGGGGAAAGTTCTGGGGATGGGTACAGTGGCTTGGTTATAGGGGTTCAGGCTGGAGTCTCCTCCCCTTCTGGGAAAATCTCTTGCTGGTTCTAGAAAAGGCTCAGTCTCTCTTCCTGTCTCCTGCCACTGCTCAGGGTGCCCCAGCCCTGTCTCTTTTTCCTTTCACAGGTGGAACTTGGGAGAGCATGGCAGGCCTACAGGGACACCTTTACTCTCCTTGTCCCAACCCCTTTCTCCCACATCTGTGCCTGCTCCTTGCGGGAGATGCCACCTGTGAGCCTGCGTCTTCTGCAGGGCAGCTGGGTCTGGGCCTGCAGCTGCCACTTCCAGGATGGCCTGCCAAGCTGGTGCAAACCCTGGCTTTTGGGTAGGATGGGCACAGGGGGCACTGCCTTTTGTGAAGCTGCCCACCAGGCCTGCCTCCCACTCATCCCTTCTGCACCCCAGTCTGCTCCTTGCCTTGAGCCCTGTGTTCCATCTGTACCCAGACTACTTCCTCCTCTGACCTCTCTGCTCACAGCCACCCTCATCCTGTCACAAATCCCTTTGGTCCTCTGGTGTGAGGGCTCCACAGGGTGCTTCTAGTATATGACAGAGCGGCTCAAGTGACTGCTGGGCTTGGAACCCGTGCTGAGGAGATCCTAGTGCAGAACAGCACAATGTGGAAAAGGGAGACTGGAGCGGGACTGGGGTCCTGGCTTACCAACAGTCTCTGCCTGGAAATGGGGAGCCAGGAAGACGGGTATGAAGCAGAGGAAGGCCGCTAGGCAGGTGGCGTCCCGGCCACTGCGCTTGCAGTCCTTGTGGAAGATGTTGATCCTGGGTGGCTCAAAGTGGAGGCTGGCATTGATCTGGACCACAGGCCTGGCCCTGGGGGGTGGGGCGGGGCAGTGGCTCAGGCTGGGAATAAAGCAGGTGGGGAGGGCTCGCCCCAGAGCAGCACCCATCTCTGTCCCTGAGCTGCACACCACACTGGTGTCCCTCTGCCCCTTCTCTCTCTGTCTCCAGCCCTGGAAGCATATCAGACTCATGCGGAGCCTAGAAACCCCTCCAACAAGCTGTCCCTGGCCCAGTCTTCATCAAAAGAGGCACAGGGTCTCCCCATCATCTTCCCAAATGCCCTGGCTCTCCACCTTGTCACCAGGTAGGTGACACAGTGGCTAGGTCTTGAGAGCTGGAGCATGACTGAGTCCTTCCTGTGACATGGAGGTGCATGGGTCTTTTTCACAGGGCCTCATTTCCTGTGAAGGGTTTCTGCGCCACCTCTGTCCCCTAGCCCAGCTATGGATGCCCGTTTTGTGCTTTGGGCTGTTTCCCAGGGGGATCTATATGGTCCCATTTCCTGACTGCATCATCATATATTTGAGGACAGGAGCACACTCCGCCCCTACTTAAAATTTTAAATTTATTATTTTATTTTACTTTTTACTTTTCAGTGTGAAGGCCCTAGGGATTGCACTCAGGGCCTTCACACTGAGTTACAATTGCCGCCCTTTTTTACTTTGTACTTTGAGACAGGGTCTCACTAAGCTGCCCAGGTTGGGCTTGAACTTGCCGTCCTCCTGCCTCAGCCTACAGAGTGCAGGGCTTATAGGTGTGTACTACCAGGCCTGGCTCATCCTCTGGACCTTGTGCTTTTCAGGCAGGTGCTTAAGCCACTGAGCTATCTCCCCGACCCCTATCAACCCTTCTTGATTTACCTTGTGAAGCTACATAACTCTGTTAAAAGTTGAATGAAAATTGGACACAGACGCTTCACTGATCTGTGATGGCCTATCCCATCATCACAGAAAGCAGGTGGACATTGGACAGCTATGGGGACCTGATGAGTCCTGCCCTGCCCTCACCACCATCTCGGGAGCTTTGGTGAGCTTCAGCCTGCCCCCATCATCCTTGGAGCCCTCCTGAGCTTCAGCTTGCCCCCCTTCACCATGGTGGAAGCCATGCTGAACCCCACATAGCAGGAGCTCTGGTGAGCCGACCCCGATCCCCCACTGTCGTGGGAGCCTTGCTGACCCATACCCCACCCCTTTCCACCACTGCTGAGTGCAGGTGAACAGTGGGAGCTTCAGAAATGTCAAAACAAAGGAGCAAAAGGCAATCTCAGACCTCCAGCCCACCCAGAACAAGCCCAGGAGACAAGGACATAGAAGAATCTAGAAGTCACACACCCGAAATTTCTGAAAGGATAATAACTGAAGTAAAGAAACAACTGCATCAGGCTATACCAGAAGTGAGATGAGAAATAATCTCTCAGGTAAAGAAAGAAATGACAACAATTATGAAAGAATAGCTCAGTATATCTGAAGAAGGCATAGATAAGAAACAGAGACTAGGAAAATGATGGAAACATTGAACAAACAGTACAAGAAAGAATCAGAATGCATGAAACATTCAAACAGATACTAAAGAAATTCAGAATTCCATTGAAAGCTGGCAAAACCATTTGAATGAAACTGAATTCAATAAGAATTTCAAACCTGGAAGACAACATCGCAGCAGCTAGTGAATGTGAAAGGAAATATCTCTTAAAAATAACAAAGAACCAGGAAATAACAATTAAGCAGCTACAAGACGATACAAAGAAAAACAATATAAGACTAAGAGGGGTCAATGAGACAGCAGGACTCAGCACAAATGACATAAAAAGTCTACTTGCAGAAGTAGTAGCAGAAAATTTCCCAAGCATGGAGAAAGAATCTGACATACAGTAGGTGAGGTGTATAGAACTCTAGTTATCCATAATCAAAATAAATCTACAACTAGACACATAACAAAGAAGAGCCCAGAAAATGAACAAAACATACAATATTAATAGCAGTTAGAGAAAAGAATCCCAGATAACTACTGTCAGAATCACACAGATAACCACCAAATCAAGAAGTGCCTGGAGTGAAGTATTTCAGGTCCTGACAGAAAACAACTTCCGTCTGAGTTCGACCCCTGGTTCCGCCAAAAAAAAAAGAAAAAAAAAAAGGAAAACAACTACCAACTCAGACTGACCTACCCTGCAAAATTATCTATATCAAATTTGGTGGAGAACTATGATACTTCCATGACAAAAAACAACTGAAGAAATTCATGCCCACCAAACCAACCCTACAAAGAGTACTGATGTATTCTAGAAAGAGACAGAAATGACCACAGCTTTAAGAACAACAACAGTTGGGAGGCTGAAAAACAGGAAGGATCACCACAAGTCTGATCTGTGTAGTGAGACCCTATAGACCCTGTACTAAATACATTTAAAAAAAGAACAACAAAAGAAAGGAATCACCAAGCAGAACAAGCAATTAAACATGGGAAAAGTGGGGAACCCACAGCAGGATAATAACATGACAAGGTAAGACAATACATACCAGTTGTAACCATCAATGTAAATGGGCTCAATTCACCAATCAAAAGAAGCAGACTGGCAGAGTGGATCAAGAAACAAAATCCAACAATATGCTATGTGCAACACATTTAACTCAGAAGGAAATGCATAGACTGAAAGTCAGAGAACGGGGACTGGCCAGATAGCTCAGCAGACTAAAGCACCTTAGGCAGCAGACTAAAGCTTAGGCAGAGTGCAGCAGCTGAGGTTCGATCTCTGGCATGCCGTGCTGGCCCTGCTCCTGGAGCACACTGAGAGGGTGATTGAGACTGGGTGTGGTGGTGTGTGCCTGTAATCCCAGCACTTGGGTGGCTGAAAACAGGAGAATCACTACGAGTCTGATCTACATAGTGAGGCCCTGTAGACTTTGTAGAACCTGTACCAAATAGATTAAAAAAAAAAAAAAAAGTCAAAGGAGGTGAAACAATACTCTATGTGACAGGAACCCAGAAAAAAGCAGGGTTAGCTATTCTGGTTGCTAATAACATCCATTTCAAATCAAGAATGATTAAAAGGGACAAAGAAGGTCATTACATACTTGTTAGGGGAAAACTGGGAGAGGAACAGATAGCAGTCATAAATATATATGCATCGAACTGCATAAGACAAATTTTAACAGACATGAAAAATGAAATGAACAATAACAATTGTAATGGGGGACTTCAATGCTCCATTGTCTCCAAGAGAGATCAACTAGGCAAAAATTCAACAAACTGAACTGAACTGAACTTGTGAAGAAACGGACTTGATAGATCTTTACAGAGTGTTCTACCCAACAATGTCAGGATACACATTCTTCTCAGCTGCACCTGGGATGTTTCCCAGAGCAGACCATATATTAGCACATAGAGTATGCCTAAGTAAATGCAAAGGAATTAAAATCATGTCATGCATATTTATCTGATCACAGTGCAATTTACCTGGAAATTATTATTATTATTATTATTATTATTATTATTATTTGCAGAACCAGGGATTGAACTCAGATCCTTGCGTTTGCCAGTCAAGCACTTATCCTACTGAGCCATCTCTCCAGCCCAAACTGGAAATTATTGACAAAGAAACAGCAAAGGCTCCATAAACATATGGATATTAAATATCACCCTCCTGAACAATCAATGGGTCACAGATGAAATTAAAGAAAGACATTAATATTTAAAATCAAATGAAAATGAAAATACAACCTACTGGAACCTGTGGGATGCAATGAAAGCTGTCTTAAGAGGGAAATTTATAGTGGTAAGTTCTCACATCAGGAAAACAGAATGGGCCCAAATAAACAATCTTACACTGCACCTCAAGCTCCTAGAAAAAGAAGAGCAAGTCAAGCCCAAAGCTCAAAGAAGGCAGGAAATTACAAAGATCAGAGCAGAAATTAATGCAATGGAGACAAAATAGTACAAAGAATTAATGAATCAAAGAGTTGGTTCTTTGAAAGAATAAAATTGATAACCCCTATCTGACCTTGTCAATAAAAGGAAAGAAAAAATTTAAATTCATCCAATAAGGAATGAAAAGGGCACAATCACTACAGACCCTATTGAAATTCAGATCAATAATACCTACTTCAAAAATCTTTACTCTCAGAGGATGGAAAACACAGCTGAAATGGACAGATTCCTAGATACATATAATTTCCAAAACTGAATCAAGAAGATACTAAAATTCTGAATAACCCAATGTCAGGGAATGAAATTGAAAATGTAATAAAAAACCTACCAACAAAGAAAAGCCCAGGTCCTGATGCATTCACAACTGAATTCTACAAAAAAATTTAAAGAAGATTTAATGTCAACTCTTTTCAAATTCTTCAGTGAAATTGAAAGGGAAGAAATACTCCCAAAGTCATTCCTGGAGGCAAGTATTACTCTGATAACAAAACCAGAGGAAGACCCAAACAAAAAGAGAGGACTACAGGCCAATCTCCTTAATGAAAACATAGATGCAAAAATCCTCAATGAAATACTATCAAACAGAATGCAAAAAATCATCAAGAAGATTGTAGTACATCACAACCAAGTGGGGTTCATCCCAGGAATGCAGATGGTTCAATATACATAAATGTATAAATGTAATATACCTTACCAACAGAGCCAAGACAAAAATCACACAATCATCTCAATAGATGCAGAAAAAGCTTTTGATAAAGTCCAATACTCATTCCTGATAAAAACCCTACAGAAAATCATAATAAATGGTCTTTACCTCAACCCGATGAAAGCCATCTATGACAAACCAACAGTCAACATCATACTAAATGGACAAAAACTGAAAGCCTTCATGCTAATTATTGATTGATTGATTGATTTTTGTGGTACCAGAGGAAAGCCTTCATGTTAAAATTAGAAACAAGACAAGCATGCCCACCATCACCACTTCTATTCAATATAGTTATGGAAACATTGGCCAGAGAAATTAGATAAGAGAGAGAAATAAAATAAATAATGATGGGAAAGAAGTGAAATTATCATTATTTGCAGATGACACGATACTCTCCATAGAACACTCCAAAAACTCTACCAAGAGACTTGTAGACTCATTTATTTATTTATTTTGTGGAACCAGGGATTGAACTCAGGCCCTTGTACTTGCCAGGAAAGTGTTTATTCTACTGAGCCATCTCCCTGGCCCTGAGACGTGTAGATTTAATAACCAAATTCAATAGCATAGGGGCTGGTGAGATGGCTCAGTGGTCTAAAGCACCTACTTAGAACAAGCTTAGCAAAGCACAGGGACCGCGGTTCAATCCCCCAGCACCACATGCCAGCCAGCCCCGCCCCCTGGTGGGCTGAGTTGGCCACACACACACACACACATAAATAAAATTTTTTTTTAAAAAATAGCATAGCATACAAAGTCAATACTCAAAAGTCAATAGCATTTCTGTACACAAACAACAAACCAAGAGAGAAAATAGGGAAACCACACCTTTCACAATAACATTAAAAAAAAAAAACAAAACCCTTAGGAATCAATCTCAAAAAGGAAGTAAAAGATTTATACAGTGGAAATTATAGTACTCTGAGAAAAGAGATGGAAGATTTTTAGAAAAAGGAGATATTCCTTGTTCCTGGATAGCAAGAAACATTGTGCAAATGGCCATACTGCCAAAATTGTTATATAGATTCAATGCAATCCCAATTAAAATATCATTAGTATACCTCACAGAGCTAGCAGAAACATTCCTAAAATTCAACTAGAACCAGAATATCAAAAGCAGTCCTGGGCAACAAAGGAAAGGCAGGAGGCATCACAATCCCTGACTTGAAATTATACTATAAAGCTACCATGATAACATTAGTGTGGTACTGGCATAAAAACAGACCTGAGGATCAATGGAGCAGATTAGAAGGTACAAACACAACTACAAAAACTCTCAGCTGCCTTATCTTTGACAAAGGGGCCAAACATGTTGACTGGAAGAAAGATAGCCTCTTTACTGGTACTGGAAAAACTGGCTTTCCACATGCTGAAAGCTACAATTAGGCCCATATCTATCACCACGCACTAGACTGCAGTCAAACTGGATCAAATACTTAAAGATTAAAGCAAACACTAAATCTTATGGTAGAAAAAGTAGGTAGAAATCTTAATGACATAGGTGTAGGTAAAGAGTTCATGAACAACAACCAAACTGCATGGAAAGTACTTCAAAGAATCAACAACGGGGACCTTATGATTTTGAAAACTTTTTGCACATTAAAAGAAATCATGGGGGCTGGGGAGATAGCTTGGCCATCTAAGCTCCTACCTGGCAAGCACAAGGACCTGGTTTTATCCCCGGTACTGCATGCCGTGCTGGCCTCCCCGGAACCCCAGGTGTGCTGTGCTAGCCACTGAAATCAGGTGTGGTGGTGCATGTCTGTAATCCCAGCACTGGGGAGGCCGAGACAGGAGGATCATTTTAAGTCCAAGCTGCATAGTGAGACTCTGTACCAAAGAAAGAAAGAAAGAAACAAAGGAAAAGAAAAGAAAAAAGATAAGACAAGAAAAGAAAAAGCGAGCGAGCCAACAGAGCAAAAAGAAAACCCACAAACTGGGAAAAATTATAGCTATCCCTCAGGCAAAGGACTTCTATCTAGAACATATAAGGAGTTTTAAAAAATCAGGCCTCCCCAAATTCAAAGACCCAATCAAAATTGGTCATCTGAGATGACTATACATTTCTCATATGAAGAAATACAAATGCTGAATAAATATATTGAAAAAAGTTCAACATCATTGATAACTTGAGAAATGAAAATTAAAACGACACTGAGATTCCATCTCACCCCAGAAAGAATGGCTGTCATCAAGAAGTCAACCAATAACAATGCTGGAGAGGCTGTGGGGAAAAGAAAGCCTTCTCCACTGCTGGTCAGAATGTGCACTGGCACCACCACTGTGGAAATCAGTGTGGAGATTTCTCAAAAAGAAGGTTGGAAGTCCCATTCACCCAGCTATTTCCCTCTTGGGTATCTTTCCAAATGAACTGAAAACATACTACGGTGATATACGTACACCATATTTATAAAATTTGTCATAGCTAAATCTTGGAAACAACCCAAATGCCTATCAACTGAGGAATGGAGATGTGTGTTTTTTAATCACAATGGAGTATTACTCAGATATCTATCTATCTATCTATCTATCTATCTATCTATCTATCCATCTATCTATCTATCTACCTACCTAAATTTGAGGCTTCTATAAGGTGAATAGATGCAACTAGAGACCATACTTATTAAGTGAAATAAAAAATACCTGCATGTGCAAACATCATATTGTCTCACTAATGCAAGAACCTGAAAAAGTAAATAAAATCTGAAAGGTATGACAGATACCGTGAAAGGGGAAAGAATTCATTTAAAGGGAAGGAAAAACGGATAAGGAGAAGGATGGGAGGAGGGAGGGGGAGGAAAGAGGTATGTTCATGTATGTATGCAGGATGGCTTGGGTAATTGTACTGCCGATTTCTGCTGGTCTACAGAGGGGAGAAGTTGATGCTTAATTTTTTTCTGTTCTTGTCCTTTTTAATTTCTTTTTCTTTTTTTTTTTTTTTTTTTCTCTCTCTTTCTTTGTTTTTTTTTGTTTTTGCAGTACTGGGGACCAAACACGGGACCCTGTGCTTTCTAGGCAGGCTCTTTTTCCTTTTTAGTTTCTTATAACTTTTTTCTTTTCTTTTTAACCAATTTTGCATGCTTATATCTGGTAATATCAACAAGTAATTTGAAGACAACATTATGCAATATAGCAACCATTGTCAAATTCCTATTGTTTTGTTTGGTGAAGTTCTATATACTAATGCTTTTCTTTATTTTTTCTTTTTAATGTATTTGGTACAGGGCCTCACTATACAGCTCAGACTGGTAGTGATCCTCCTGTTTTCAGCCTCCCCAGAGCTGGGATCAAGGTGTGCACCACCACACCCTGACTCGGTTGCCAGCTCAGTGTGCCTGGGGGCGAGGCCAGTGTGGCATGTGGTACCTGGGATCAAATTTCTTTACTACTATGAATTCTCTTTAGATAATAAAATTTATATGAAAACTATCATTACACTTACAGAAAATTAAATGTAGGCATTAAGTTTGGAGGAAAATGTCAAATACCAGTGGTGAAGATGATGGAGTGTTGAACAGGTTTTTCCTTATTTTACAAATTTTCTCTATGGTAGTGTATTTGTCATGAAATACACTTCATCGCCATATGGAAATGACTAAAATAAACTTGTTTTCTCTCAAAAAGTAGTCAATGTGTGGCAAAATACACGGCCTTGTAGAAATCACTGCAATGGAGCCCCGAGGGGCTTTGGAGGACAGAACTCCCTGAGTCACACAAACAGTATCCCACACTGGGGGACAGAAAAGTTCCTCCCACTTGAGAAAAAGATGTCCAGTGTACCCCCTGAAGTGTCTGAAAAGCCGAGGGGAAGAAATACCCCTAAGCTGAGCATGGTGGTGCATACCCATAACCACAACACTTGGGAAGCTGAGGCAGGAGGATCTCTGAGTTTGAGGCTAGCCTGAACTACTCAGTGAGACTCAAAAAGCACGCATTCACACGCACACACATGCACACACAATGCCCCGGAAACCAGAGCTTTTAGACAAAGGCCACGGGCTTCCACACACTATGTTGGGCTAAAATCCCAGGAGTCATTTGGAAGAGGAACCTGGACGTCACGATAACTCACGGGGATGCCCTGCGGTCACAGTGGGGTTTGTCTGGCTGACCGCGGTTAGAGATGAGGGATGGAAATGCTGAAACAAGTCCTTCACACCCTTGCCCCATGGTGGCCCTGAGGCCACCGAGTCCAGACCCAAGGGACCCACCACAGAATCACAGCGCTGCCCAGGGCGCCCACGGCCAGGTCCACCAGCCCGTCCTCGTTGAGGTCCAGCTGCCCGTGGATGCTGCAGCCGAAGTACTGGAGGCCAGGAGCCAGCTCGGAAGCGGCGATTCTCTGCAGGGGAGGGAGGGGGGGTGCGTGAGCCGGGGGTGGGGGCTGCCTGGGCAGGGAGGACAGAGACAGCGGGAAGCCGTTAGGACCCCCACCCGGCTGGCCTGGCCTTCACGGCACCTTGAAAGCCATTCTTTTGTTAAAATTTTATAGCAAATTAATGAGTCTTAAATGAGTTGCCAGCACTCTGGAGGCCGAAGTGGGAGGATGAGGCGTTGGGCCCAGCCTGGGATTCATACCGACACAGCTGCATGCGAAGGCTCTGGGTTGAATCTCAGTATTGCTCTCCCCTGCCCCCACTCAAGAAAAGAGAAAAAACAAAAAACAAAAACAAAAACAACCCTCCATAAAGTGTTCATACATCACGTTACTGGCAGGTCACCCATCTGCACCTCAAAGCTTAGGATACTTATTAAAGTATCTTATTAATAAAATATGTGACCAAATAATGATCCTGCGAGGGACAGAACCTGAGAGGCTTGCTTTTTGAGGTTGCCAGGTGCATTTCATCAAGGAAATACACAGACGCCAGGCTGGCTGGTGGGGTGAGATTCAGGGCCTGCGTGTGGCCTTGTGGTTGACACGGGAGGGCAAGGGCGGCCAGGAGTCCCGGGGGCACAGGAAGACGCCACACGCCCGCGTCACAGCTTCCGCTCAGGCGGGCGGAGCTGGCACGGCTGGGCTCCCGCGCGCGGTCCTTTGCTGCCTCCTCTCGGAGCCGCACCTGCGCGGGCGTCTTCAGGATGCCGCCCCGGAAGCCACGGAAGATGTAGATGACGCCCTGGTGGGCGTCCTCCAGCGGGGCGCCCACCACCGCGTCGTTGTAGGAGTCCTGGTTGAGGTCCCGCACAGCGGCGATGGATGCGCCGAACCGGGAGTTCTGGTAACTGCGGGAGTCCTTCAGGGTCCCGTTGTAGGCGAAGCGGCTCTGCAAGACCACGCACGGCCGGAAAGAAGGCGCTCAGGCGGCCCGGCCAGGGCTCGGGTCCCGATCCCCCGTCTGCTGCCGCGGTACCCCCAGAATCCGGGGACAGAGGAGTGCCTGTGCCCTCCAGCCCGGCTCTTGCAGGAGGCGCTGGCCTCGCTGGGAACCAGGCTCCGCGTGGCCACCGACGCCAGCACGGGGGCCAGGGCCCCCGACGCCCCCCGGCTGGCAGTACCTGTCTCAGGTTGTACACGTACACCTTGCCCCGCTCGCGGCCCTCGCTGAAGTACATGGGCGCCCCCACCAGCAGGACGTCGGTCACCCCGTCACCATCGACGTCCACGGAGGTGATCTCGCTCCCGAAGTACGAGCCTATCTGTGGCACAAGGCAGGACAGGGCAGGGCTGGACGGCCCTCTCCTCGGGCTGCGGAGGGAGCCCCGCCCAGGCTGGACTTAGGATTCGGGGGCCCGTGGGTCCCCCTCTCTTCTCTGCCTAACCCTTATTCCCATCCTTGCAGCAGGAAGTGGTATATATTACAGCGACAAAAGAGGAAAATACCAGCAAAGTATAAAGAAGAAAATGAAAGCTGCCCCTCGCGCTGGTGCGCGGCCGCTGCTACCGCGAGTGTTCCGGACATTTTCTCACCTTTCTCCTGAGCTAAGTCGCCTGTTCATGCATGTGTCTGCTTGGAATTTTATAATCTGGACTGTGAGGTATGGAGTTTTAAACAGAACAGTGTATCATCAGCCCTTTCTCCCTGACCTGGTTTTTCCTCTAGCAGGGCCCCTGGTGACTCCAGGGGGCTCCGAGCTAGGCGCAAGCTCTGCTGTGCCAGTCATGCGCCTGCCACCGGGCAGTTAGCTGGGTTTTAGGCTTTTACTGTCACAGGTCTTCCTGATTTGTGACTTGGGTGGTGAATGACAGCTCCTCCCTGGCTGTGGACACCACTGTGTCCTCTCTGCATAGGGGTGCAGGGCTCCCCGCCCCATCACAACCCTGAAGGTCCCTGGCTCCATCTCTGCCGCCTGTCACACCTGCAGCAAATCCCATCTGGTTACTGTCACCACCCCATCCGCTCCCCAACTGCTCCCCTGGGAGTGGCATCCTTCATAGGGATGCTGGCACTCCACGGGTTGGTCCCTGGCCCTCCCCAGGGCCCTCGGCTGTGTCCCTGCTGTACGCTTGCATTTGGGATAAGATCCCAGAGTCCTGTCCCCACCCTGGCCTCTGTCAAACCCTGAGGCCAGTCCTGTGGTCCAGCGCTGCCTTCGCCGCACGCCCAGGCCCTGTCTAGCACAGCTTCATGAGGTGCACCGTCTCCCCTGTCCCTCACAGGCAGTGCCTGCCACCTCTCAGCTCTCAGAAGTTCGCTTCCCCTGTGCTGCCCCCAGCTTCCCCCCAATCTACAGCGGGTGCCCCTCCTTGGTGCACCCGCTCCCTGCAGTTGTCTCAGTTTCTTTTTCTGTGTGCTGGGGATCAAATCTGGGGCCTCACACACTAGGCAAGTGCTCTGGCTCTGAGCTGTCCCCAAGTCAGGCTGTCTCATTTCCAAGAGGAGGATCCTAAGGCCTGAGAATTCCAGTTACTGTCCCAAGCCAGAGGCCGATCCCCATCAGGCCTCCACATCCTTCCTTCCTATCTTCTCCTGCACAGAGTGGGGTGTTTTCAGGGGAAAGCTATGCTCAAGTGTTAGAAACTTTGATCTGCGGAGGAGGATCAAAATACAGATGGAAAAAGTAGCTAATGGGCCCTGGTGAGGGGAGGAGAGATGGTCCCCATGGGATCAGTAAGGGGCAGACGGATCAAGGAGCAGAGAAGAGACAGTGGCCTGAATCTGTGGCCTTGCTGATGTGGGCCTCAGTGATCAGAATCCATTTTAGCATTTAGCTGCCTTTAGCACTGGGGTTTCTGATTCAGATGTTGGGGGTGAAATAGGGCAGGAAAAATGCCAGATTCATCGGCAAATGCCCTGCAGCTCTCACACTCCGGCCTTGTTCTCCAGGGAGCCCACCTGGGACAGTCAGGGGGGCAGGGTGGCAGTGGTGGCTGGAACCTCAGGGGTGGAAAAGGAGCTGCAGGACAGTGGCAGCACAGTGAGCAGGACTTAGGCACCCAGGGTGGAGCAGGTCCTCATGGGGGCTGTGGCAGCTCAGAGCAGGAGGGCTGGGAGCAGTGGGGAGGTAGGACCCTGAGCCAGCTCAACTCCGGCCCAGGGTGCTGGGGACACGGCCAGTCAGGAGGAGCCAGGCCTGGATTGGGGACACTGGGGTCAGGGGGTGGCAAAGCACCAGAGAGCCCTTCCCAGGCCTGGATGCTTCACTGTCTCCAGCCATGAACCTGACCTGCGGCTTAGAAAGGCCACGTAGCTCCCCAGGACCAAAGATCTATTGGCCACTGCAGCGATTCCCAGACCTTTCCTCTGTCGCACGGGGCACTGAACCCAAGACCTTTGCCCTGAGCTGCATCCCAGCCCTTTATTTTATTTTATTTTTTAAATTTTGAGACAGAGTTTTGCTAAGTCACTAAGTTGTCCAGGCTGGACTTGAACTTTCGAAGCTCTTGCCTCAGCCTCCTGGAGCACAAGATTACAGGTGTGAGCCACCAGGCTGGGCTTCTGACCCTTTCCTTAGCATAGCTTTCCCATATATATTCATGACTGCCCAACAGAAGACTCTTTGCAACACAATCTGGCTGTAAACCGTACCCAGGCAGGGCAGTGGCATTGGGAATGTGTCCACTCCACACTGACACCACTCCCTGGAAAGGGAAGGAGCTGGCACTCTCTGGGTGGACATAACTCCTGGCAGCAGGAAGGTAGCTGGCAGAGTGTGACCGCCCCGGGGCACCTTGGGGCCCCAGAAGCCCAAGCTGTGTGACTATAACCAGATGTTGCCCACAGAAAGGGCCAGTGAGAGCCGACAGCGGTAGTAGGGGTGCGGCCAGTGCCCCAGAGGCAAGAGGACCAGGACCCACAGATGAGACTCCTGCTCCCCAGTTCTCCAGGATTAGAGTATTTCAGTGCAGTAATGAATGCTATCCCAAGACCCCTCCAACAGCACCATGGATGGGTGGATGCTCCACATGGGGGCGAAGCCTGGAGCCTGGAGCCTGGAGCCTGGACCTGTCCTTCCCAGAGGAGAGGAACCTGGGTGCCCCTTACCTGCTCACCCCGCAGAGCCTGGTGGATGAAGAGGCTCCGGTTGTTGTGCATGGTAAATAGGATGACTTTGCCCGTGTGGTTGAACCGGGGGGCTCCAGCCACGTACACTCGCCCCTGCCTGGAGGACATGACCGATGTCACTGTGTACCCTGCCATGGGAGGAAAGAGGCTGGTCTCCATGCCATGTCTTTGGCCCACCCTGCCAGGGCCCAGGGAGTGGGGAAGGCTGCCTCTCCCTCCAGGCACTGCTGTAGAGGAGGGTGGCTTTCTGCTGGCCTTGCACCTGTCCTGGGGACCCCGCCATGGGTGCCGTGTCCCTCCAAGGGCTGGGAGCTTTGAGGACACCATGGAGACACACAGTACAGGGAACCACATATCCCTCGTTCTACCTGTGTATGAGGAGTCTTTTATGTGCCAGGCGTGGTGCTGGCGGGAGAGACGACTTGGGCCACCAGTGCCCAAGCCTGCGCTGTCCTTCAAGGCCAGCACATACGCAGCTCTTCACCTCATCCTGTACCCCACAGGCCTCACCCAGGTATGCGCCGTGGTTCTTGAGCTCCTCAGGGAACTCCTTCAGGTAGGACTCGCGCAGAGGGATCACTTTGCCACCGCTCGTTTCCTTCAGCACAGCCCCATTCCAGTCATAGGCGCCCACAGCACCCAGCAGAATCCCATCCTGGTACCGGGAGGGGACAAGTCAGATCTGCCCTTCCGAGAGTCACCGCTGGGGGGCGCCATGGAACAAGCTCATTCCTATTGTGATCGGCCCTTCCCCAGCCCATCCTTAGCACTAACAGTCCACCACTAGGTCCCCAGGTGGGCAGGATTTAGAAAAAGAGGTCATTCTAGGACAGGAGTGGTGAGACTATGCCATGTGTGACCCAGCTGATTGTTATCACTGAAAGCTCTAAAAGGTATGCCATTGTTGCTTTCGGATAAAGTCCCAGGCCAAGACCAAACCTGCACTCCTGCTTGGATTTCAAAACCCTTCAGGATGGGGCTGGGGAAATGGCTCAGTGGAATAAGCGCTTCCCTGGCAAGCACAAGGGCCTGAGTTCAATCCCCGGTTCCACAAAATACAAACAAACAAAACCTTCAGGATGTCACCCCTTTTTTGTGACCACCTTCAGATTTCCTCTTGGTGTCTGAGTTGCCTTCCTGCATGAACCCTGCTCCTGATCCCCACACCTGTACACATGTCCCCAAATGCCACACTGTACCCTATAAATATGGGTCAATTAAAAAGACAAAGCCCACACTCCTTCATTTCTTCAGCATAAGTTCACCAAGCAGCTGTACTTTGCCAGGTACTGGCTTGGCACTGGGACACCGTACCACCCTCAGAGCTCAAAAGTACTAAGCAAGTGGAGCAAACACGCAGCTGCACATTGTGGCAGACGCAGTCACAGGGAGCCACAGTGAGGGGCATTCAGACTGCGCGAGGGCTCAGGAAGCGGTTGAGAGGAAGTGATGCCACCCCAGACAGCGAGTGTAGTGGAGCCTCAGGGGAGTGAAAAGGCCAGGAGCGGCGTGTGCAAAGGCCCTGCAGCTGCAAGAGGCCAAAGCTTTTGCTTTCGAGGAGCTAAAAGTTGCTGGGTGGGGCTGGATCTTGGAGTGAGGGGTCAGAGTGGCCGGAGAGGAGGCTAGACCCGTAGGCAGGGCCATATCTGAGACAGCCAGTACCTGAAGGACTGGACCTTGTTTTCCAGGGTTTGGAAGGCCTCATTCCACCTTCCAGGAAGAGGGCATTTCCTGAGGTCTAGGTCCCTTTGCCCCTGCCCCGTCCCCCTACCACCCCAGGATAAAACTCCACAAGGTAGTGGGGTGTGAAAAGACCCAAGAGGGTGAGTTAGTAGCGACACCAGGGTCCCAGGGAGGGTGGTGCCAGCAGGTGTCATCTTCCTGGGTTGCCTGGTCATCTAGGAGTGGGGCAGCAAGTAGGCAGTCCTGTGTTGAGCTTTTAAAGCACCACAGGTGATGTCACTTCACCCTGCTGGTTCTTGGGCAGAGCTGATTTTTCAAAGGGTTCAGAAATGCCAGCTTGAGCTGGGGAGATAGCTCAGTGGTCTAAGCACCTGCCCCAGCAAGTGCAAGGATCTGAGTTCTATCCCCGGATGCCCTGCTGGTTACCAAAACCAGGCATGCATGCCTGTAATCCCAGCACTGAGGAGGCTGAGACAGGAGGATCATTACCAGTCAAAGCTGTATAGCAACGCCCTGTACCAAATAGATAAATAAATTTTAAGAAAAAGAAAAAAAGAAAGGCCAGCTCCCCAGTACAGGCCTGAGAAAGCAGCTGCCGAGGTTCAGAGAGGATAGGGGACACTGGCCAGAGAAGGGTGTGCCCGGGACCTGTGACACACTGCACAATGAGTCTGCAAGGCTGCAAGCCCACCAAGAGGAGACCTGTCACAGGCATGACACAGCACGCAGGATGCCCCACTGTGTGATTCCCAGCTGGCCATGTGCCTGGCTTCCCCCACCCAGCTCTTCCACATTTTCTCCAAACACAAAGTGCCTGGTGTCCCCTGGCCAGGAAGAGATTGTGACAAACTGAGGTTCCCTCTGGTGGCCTTCCTGTCCCCCTCCTCCAGCACCCTGTGCTTGCTGTGTGGCTTTGCCTGTCCCACTCTTAGAAAAGGCCTCCCAGCTCTGGGGACAAAAGGGTAGGATAGATGAGGGAAAGGAGTGGAACCGGATGCAGCCCCCACGCAGGACTTCAAGGAATTTGGTGGCATTTTTCTCTTCCGCACAACTCAACTTCCTGATCAAAGTCCCAGCTCAGCATGTGATCTGCTCTGTGCCCTTGGGCAAGTCCTGTGCCCTCTCTGACCACATCGCCTACGTCTGTGCCAGGCCAGATCCCGAGCCAAGCAGCGTGGTCCTGGCAGTGGCTTCCATCTGGGCTGGTTTTGGCCCAGTGACCTGTGCCAGTGCCCAGAAGCACTGCCCGGGCCCAGGGTGAGACACCCCAGGGTTGGGGTAGAGAGGGGACTCGGGGCCGGATGCTCCTGGGTTCCAGCCTTGGCTCTGAAGCTTTTCTTTTTCTTTTTTGCGGTACCAGGGATTAAACTCAGGACCTTGTGCTTGCCAGGTAGGCGCTTATGCCGCTGAGCTAGCTCCCCGGCCCCTGAAGCTTTTCCTTTACATGGGTTCCTTTCTCTCTCTGTCTTTCCACTCCAGCTTCCTCAGTTATAGCACTTGTTTTAGGATAAGAAGTAGCATTTCAAACTCGCAGCACAGTGCTTCGTAGCTGGTCCTGGTCCCCTCCTCGATCTGGGGGAGACTGAGGGCCCAGGAAAAGAAGAATCGGACCACAGCATCCAGGCCACTGCAAGGCAGGGGTGCGATGCGCTGATGGGGGTGAGGACAGGCTAACTGGGGGGGGGTCTCTGGCGGGGGACCAACTGAGGGAGCGGTGGGTGCACAGCAGGGCTAGGGAAAGATTTCAACCAAACCCTACTTGATTTATTGGTTAGTCCCGAAATGAACTTTCAGCTCCAAATCTCATGAAAATATCCCTTATTTCTGCAGATATTTCTCAGATATCTTCATAAAGTCTGTAATTAGAGGTTAAATGGTTTGCCAGAGCCCACACAGCTGGGCCACAATGGGCTTAGTAGAATACAGACACCAGTAGCTCTGCCTTCCACTGATCTCAGATTCTACCAAGCTTGGCTGTGGAGCCTGGTGGAGGTGGGGCTGGCGGTCCTTACACCGGCAGGTGGCTTGAACTTGGAATCCTCCTGCCTCAGCCTCCTGAGTAGCTGCGATTATAGCTGTGCGTCACTGAGCTCAGCTAGGTCTTCTTCTTCATCTTCTTTTTTTTTTAATTGAATCAGATGTGTGAAACTAGTTCAAATGCAGAACTCAGGAAAAAATCACAGTGCTGAGGCTCCAACCTTTGACAGCCTTCACTGTCCATCCCCAGCAGGGCCAGCAAGGTGGGGGTTGGGAGGGTGGCTGGGAACATGGGAGGCCTTGACATTGGCCTCCTCCAAACCTGCATGGGGTGGTCCTGCTGAGCATTACATGCCGGAAGAGGCCACACCCTTACATTACAGAGAAAGAAAAGGATCTCTCTTTCCAGGTTGGTGAGCGCCCAAGGTTACTGTAGGCAAGATCCACCCTTATAAAAGGGTGTATTCCTTCTGTACACCTCTTTTGGGGCAGGAGGGGTGATGGCAATGGCTGCTGCGGAGCCCCTCCATGGCTGGGGGGCACTGTGTACTTGGAATCCTCTTCCTTCCTTCACATCCAGCTTCGAGGCCCTGGAGTGACAGGCTCCTCTGTCCACTTCCCTTTTGGAGGGAGAGCTCCTTTCTGCAAGCTTTCTGGTAGAGGCATAAAGCCTCTGCTTGGTTACCCAGCTGGACAGGGAGCTCACCACCTCTGCAGGCAGCTAGGAGAGTCCAGCTGCCCCCACTCCTAGTGACTTTTGCATTCACGAAACCATTGGCTTAAAAATCTGTTCCAAAGCTTGACCAGGGCTCCACAGTTACCCTTCCGGCTGGTAGGTTTTGGAGAATGCACTCTTTGTTTTGAATGAAGACTTGAGTCTGTGACTGCTTGTGGCTCTAAGTTTTCTCACCAACCTGTGGCCTGTGGCCGTGGGTGCTATAGTGGCCAGGTGATGTCGTGGGGTCTCCTCTCTATTCTGGCTCTGGTCTTTTTTTCTGCTTTTAACCCCTGCAGGCTCACAGGTTGGCTCTTGCTGGAAAGGAGGTGCCGAGAAGCGGGCCTCTTCTCTGCCCCTCGGGAACCTCCCATGTAGGCATCTCTCTCCGGGTGCAAACACACTTTCCTGATGTCACCCAGCAGGCCCCGGAAGCTTGCGGCTCTGGCACATTGCAGGTAGCAGCTGCTGCAGGCCATCAGTGCCCACATCTGGAGCAGGGAACCCGAGTCTCTCCTGGAGCAGGGACTCACTCTGCCTCAGGGCCTCTGAGGGGCTCCTGGGGACAAGATGGCTGTTGTGATGGCTGTGACCTCTGTGCCCTAGAACAGCAGCCCCACGGCTGGCCACGGTGCCAGGCAGCTTGGCACCACGGCGCTGCTCCTTTGCTTTCAGGTTAGCTTCGATCGCGCTCTTGCAGCTGAGGTCTGCCGACGTGGACCCTTGATAGTGACCCACAGCTCCTTGTGATGTTTCAGCTGCACTTGACCAGTGCAGGTTGTTACACTGCATGCCTCCTTGCATTTTCTAACCAACTAGGATGCCAGCGTTGTGCGCAGGGCTTGTCCTGCCAGAGCACCTGATGTGCTGTCTCACCTCGCGCAAATGGAAGCTCTTGCACCCTGGTGCCCAGCTCCCCACCCTGGGACTATATGCTCCAAGGGCCCGGGGCACTGACACTGCTGTCCTGTACTCAGCACGGAGCGGGCCCTACAAAGCCTGGCAGGTCCGGTCACCTCAAGCTGGGTAACTGTCACCTCCCACAGACCTCACAGGGTTCCTATGAGCAGGAAATAGGTGCAGGGATTGCCAGGAAAGGCATACAGGCTGCGCACAGGCACCGGGCCCCTCCTGTGCTGGGCAACTGCATTTGCATCGCCAGGGATGGAAGAGTGCGGCTAGCGCTCCTGCCCAGCTGGCTGCTGCACAGCATGCAAGCGCCTCGCTTCAGTCTGGATTCTGACGCAGACCCTCGAGCTCCCCGCTGTCTCAGGGAGCAGCTTCTTGGTGTAAAAGGCAGATAGGGGCTCATATTTTTTCTCACTAATCTTCCTCCAGTGGTCACTTAACTTCCCTGTGATTTCGTTTCCTCATCTGTACACTTTGCGCAAGGCTTCCTGCCCTATGGGATAAGGACATCTCGGTGGGATATGGACCAGTAAGGGGAGGCGCTGAGCCCCAGGGCCCCAGGCATCAGGACAGACACAAATCGGGGCTCCTCGTCTGGGGCCGGACCACCCAGAAACCCTGTGATCCAATGCTGCGCGTGCACAGAGGGGGTCCACGCAGCCACCGACCAGAGCTGGAGCCCGGGGTCACCCTCCCAGAGCGGATGCGGGGCCAAGCCTGGGCCATGTTGGGTACAGTGCAGGCAGAGGTGTGTGTAGTCGACCCCCGTGCCTGCAGACCTGGCTTTTGCACCTGGCTCAGTAGACTGAAGAGGACCCTGGGCTGGAGGGGAACGTGCCCGTCAATGCCCCTCTAGGCGGGAGCATGGGTTTCTCGGTCTCTTCCAAATAAGGTTGGGGCAGATGATATAAATAAGCTGCAGATCTTGACTTTCCTCCTCCTGCTACAGGGGATTCTGGGAGGTAGAGTCCCCAGGAAAGAATGAAGGAGAGGGGGACGGAGTCCTGCCAGGAGGGATGACCCTTCCAGCCAACGGTGCTGGGAAGGGCTCGAGGGCACAGTGGAGAGGCAGAGGAAGGGCTGCGCGGGATCCCTTACCTCCACCACATGTGAGGAGAAGCCCGTCTGCGACATCTCCAGCCCAAAGGAGGTTTCATTCTTGTTGGTGCCTAAAACAGGGACACAGGGGCATTGTGGCGTTAGCCCAGTGCCTCGCTGCCTAGCGCCACGCAGCACTCGGTGCGTACTTCCGCTTCCTGGGGGGAGGTCTCGGGGAAAGTTGAGGTTTGAGGGGGCTCTGAGGCGGAGTCCTGCAGGCCATCCGCGTGCCCTGCCCTCGTCACCAGGCGTGGTCTGAGGAGTCGGTCACTTCTGAGAGGCCGGGGACGAGTCGGGCTTCAGGGAACAGGCTCATGAATGACCACTGAAGTAGGGGAACTCAAGAAAATGCACAGAATAGTGGACTTTCTTGGCGAGAGAGGAAAATTGAACTTCGTCCATTCCTCTTATGTACCTTCTCTGGTTTCAGCTGCCTGCAGAGAGCTCTGAACACCAGACACCCCTTAGGAGGGAGACCCATCACCCCACAGTTCCCTAGAGGGAACCCCACGAGGGCCTACACCCCTCTCCACAGCAGGGCTCACTGGAAGGATGCGCTGGTCACCCCAGGTGGCTCTTTAGGGAGAAAGGTGCTGACTTGGATGTTTTAGCTCTGATGTGGGTGTCAAAGCCACGCCGTATCTCCTGGGACGCTGTATCTTTTCATAGCCCCCCTCCCCGATGCCCCGAGCCTGGGTTGGAAGCAGCTGGGGCAGCAAGGCATGGGGCACGTGGGATCTGTGCACGTCCCAGCGAGGCAATGGGAAGGCGCCAAGGCGCACCAGCACACAGGGGCCAAGTGATACAGGGACCTAGCCCCAGGGAGGCTCAAACTAGGGCTGCCAGAGAGAATACAAGGTACCGAGTGGAATCTGAATTTCAAATCAACAGTGTATTATATTTTAGTATAAGTTTTGTCACAAGCATTTTTTGTTTGTTTGGTTTTTTAAGATAGTCTTGCTAAGCAGTTAGACTGGACTTGAACTCACTTTTTTAGCCCTGGCTGGCTTCAATCTTATAGCTATCCTCCTGCCTCAGCCTCCTGCTTGCTGGGATCATAGGAATGCACCACCATCCCCTGCTTCACAAGCACTGTATTTTATATTTGCCAAAGCTGGCAGCCCTGGTTCAGATCCCACCACTTGCCAGGTGTGGGGGCCCCACCTCCCAAAGAGAATGCAAAGCCTGTCAGGACCACCACCTCGTGGGGCTGCTCATAAAGCCCATGGCTTCACCTCCAGGGGAAGCAACCCCTAGTTGCTGGTATTTTCACTAAGCGGGAGTCTTGGCCAGGACTTCCACGTGCGGGTCTGGGTCTCCTGCATGGCATCTGTCTTCTGTAAGTCCAGGCACAGAGCCCCTATTCACCCGCAGGGTTCACCTTCCAGGCTGAAGATCCTTTCCCCCAGGGCATCAACGATGTCCTTCAGGGCGGCCTCATCAGTGACATTGAAGAAGTGCTTGTCATCAGGGTCACTGGCGATGTATTTGATTTCGTTTAGGAACGTTTCTGGATTGATGCCTCTGCGGTTATAGTAGCCCAGGACCTGCCAGGGAACAGGGGCAGGGACAGCAAAGCAGGGCATGCATGACGCAGCCCTCCTCCCTACCCTACACCCCGTGGCTCCTGACCCAGCACCAGGAGCAGCCCCGAGGTGCCCCTCTGTGGCCTGCGGCAGGTCTCTTGCAGGGGTACCACAAGGCCCCTGGGCTTCTGGGAACTGTGAGGCTTGGGGGTGTTTTCTAGCTTCTGGGGTTTCTAGAACTTCCTGACAAAGGCAGGAAAACCCAAGCCCAAGCTTTCAAGGCTGGGCCTGATCAGCGCTAAAGCAGGGTTTAACCTTGAGTACAGAAGA